GGTCGACTCCGCGGCTGGAGCGGGCTTTGGAAGCTGCTATCGGAGGTCTGGAACCGCCAGACTTACAGGGACGATGGAGAACATTATTATGAGTAGCAAGGAATGATGGAATGTTGGCAGAATGAGAGAGGAATATACAAAAAATGACAACATTTTAGATGCATAATCATTTGTACCACATGTAATGTGCTCGTCATTAATCAAACATTTAACTAAGTAAACGGAAAGACACGAGGATTTATTCGTTTTCTATTACATGCTTATGTGGTAAATAGGACACTGTATTTCCTTTAAGATAAAGATATAAACACACAGACTTAGTCCTAATATTTTAAATCCATCAATTAATTAATTCTGTCCTTGTAGCGGAGTTTTATAATCTGAAACATTATAATCTTTTAATATATATATTTATGTTAATAACTATGGTATATGAATTGCTCAAGGCAATATAATGTATATATATATATATATGTAGTATAAATGCATTAATATAAATAAGTTTAATTTAATTATATATAATATATTATACAATATCATATATTAATATGATATATTAGAATGTATTATCTGTTGTATGATGTACTATAGGTAAAGCATCTTATATAATATATTATATGTCGTATACAATTATATGAAAATAAGGTATTTAAATTATATATATATATATGTAATTAATTATAACCTGAAACATGAATATAATATATTGGTTTAAAGGTTCTACATTTTTCTGAATTTAAGGCGACTGTACAGGTAGACCTATAGAACATGAGTTTGTCTCATCGAGACGGAATTCCTGGCCCATGTTTTATATGAATAACTAGAGAGTGTACACTCTTTGGAAGGCCTCGTAAAGCCATTAACAGTCACCAAAGGAACTGCTGGCTCAACTGTACTTGGCATCGTTAAAAGACTGCCAAACAAAAGCCTGTATATTGGTCCATGTGTCAAGGCAGCACGGGCGGCAGTGAAAACGAAATCGCAGGCCTAGCAGCATGTACCCGTCTGGAGGTTTAAGCAGATCTACAGCCAGCCCCTGCAGGAAACGGAGGCAGAAGATAAAGTGCAAGAGAATGGCTGCTTTTCTCTTCAGGCCAGCATCAATCTCAGACTGTCTGCCAACTCGTTTCTTCTCTACCTCCACTACGGAACCGAAAGCTTTTTCTCGACCAGGGTTCATTTGAGGCCATACACGCATGAACTGGAAGTCCTCTATTACAATCCCGAGTAGCGATGATTTTTGTAGACTGTGCTCCCTTAATCTCAGCTTTTCCCTGGGCTAGTGGCTTTTTCGATGCTATCTTGATGAAAATTCGCGCCATGGCGCCTTCACTAGCAACCGATTTAGCAACCTATAGATAGCCGCCTAAGTAGAGGCAGCCCAGTAGCAACCCATGAGGAAAGCATCGGATTTTTGACGTCAGACACTACTCATTTCGCCCTACTTCTCAAGCATCGAAGGTGAGACTGGGCTCTGCCAGTAGAATTCTTTACATATAATAATAATAATGGATAATAATAATAATAATAATAATTAAAAAATAAAAAAAATAAAAAAAAATAAATAATAATAATATAATAAGATAATTAATATTAAACAATAATATGATATAATGATAATGCATAAGAAATAAATTGATAAATAAAATTGATTTTATTTGTTTAGTTTTTCGTTTATAAATAGTCTCTTCGAGACCTCCAGTAGATCATATATATGGTCTGTGTTCACCATATTTCGGTATGGTAATGAAGGACTGATTGTTAAATTTTTCGATAAACATATGAGTGGACTTCACGCTGCCACTGAATTTCACATGTCTCATTAGCATTTTGGGCGGGACTCGAACTCTGGTTAGTGTGTCGAGATCATGTGCGGCACTGTCATGTTTCGAGTCCCGCTGGGGGTGTCTATGAAACATAGACGAGATCAAAACTCAAGCCAAGTCCAGCTTTTTGGGAAGCAGGGCTACTCGGTATTCACTGGAGACACATGATTATTAACATGATTGTGTGAAAATTCAACAACCATTCCTTCATCGGCCTTTACGAAATAGGATTAATACATCTCATTAAATAGCGTATTTTTACTAAATTAATAATTTATTTACATAAATTAAATAAATAAAGGAACTAATACACATTGCAGATATGTAAATATAGTTGATTTGATAATTTACTTTGTATTATCGTTTTATTTTTTATTTTCTAGTTTATTGTATAGATATACCATCTGTTTTATGTGTGCTTGATTACTCACAACTGGGGGACCGGACCGGCTCAATTTACTACATTTTTCCTCATCAGACCGTTGGAGAAATCGCGATAAACCGCATGCTGCTGTCAGGGGGACTTTTAAGATATCCTGAATGTGGCTGGTTGCATCTAATTCTTTAGCAGCCGATGAATGTGGCAGTGCTAAATTGGGACAACTTCTGGTAGCGCTTGATTCACCACTTACGGGACATGCTAGATCGCCAAGTACATTCTCTGCACAACAGCGTAATAAAATAGAGTTACTTTATTGATAATATTAATATGAACAATTCTCCAAAGGTTCTTGTGACATTTATTCTGTAATATTTTCATATGCTTGTAGAAATAGGGAAATTTTCCCTTCAGCTATTTTGCTGATTAGCCCTTTGCAATGGCTTTCATATGCACGGAATACCTGGGGCTATAATTCCTGAAATCAGATCAGCTAATTATCTCTCTCCATTGCATCCCCAATAAGGCAAATTTGTTAAGCCTATGTGAATAGAAAGAACATTTTTCTCGGCGAAAAATGGGAAGAGCTGTTAGGTAAAGGTAAAGTATCATATCTGATTTTCACTTAGCAATAAAGACAAGCAAAATTTATGATTGAAGGGACTTGCATTTCATGAGATTGCGTGCGATGCAGGGATTCGTGCGTGGCTCTCACCACAATTCAATGGCGGATTCTAATCCGCCTGAAGTAGTTCACTTTTTCCTCGAAGTAACTTACATTGGCTCCGGTGAAAAAGTAATCGGCTTTTTGTCTATTCCTCGAACGACCCCTTCGCAATGGAATATCCTTCGCATGGCAGCTTCGCGAGGGATTAATTTGCCTAAGTCCGATTCAAGCCTAAATACGGCCACCCTAATGTATGCATGCTTGCGTTTGTGCTCGTCTGAGTGCGTGTGTTCGTGAATGTGCTTGTGGGAGTTCAGGTTATTGCAGCCGACTTAACATATGTCTCAGGCTTCGTAAAATGCAGCGACTTTTCAACTCAGTAAAAAGCATTACCTCGATTATGGTATCATTTCACAATGAAAATAACCTACGAATCTATTCACCACAGGCTTTTACAAAAACAATTTTAACCCAAAACTATATTTCAGCCGACGATTGGTAATTGTTAGAGAGAGAGAGAGACTAGTATCGTGCAATTAAACTTGACCCCCTTGTATAGTCTGGATTTAAATTTTATGCCTATCTCCCAGGAAGAGACTTGAATTCTGCCCTTAAAAGGAAAGAGGTCTATTCGATTAATATACTGCTTGAACTAATTAGCTTAAAAGATAAATTTCCGGGTGATTTTTAGAATATATTAGAGCCAGAGCTGGAGTTTCATGTTAGCCTGGTAGTTATATCGATAAAGTATTCTGCTAAAAGTTACATTTGCAACTCTTTCGACTTTTATAGACGAATAGTTGTTGTATACTGGCGATGGTATTCCAGTAGAGAGACACCAATGGGGAAAAATTCCTGCGAAGAATCCGACTGATGAGCTTGAAGCCAGATTTAAGGACGCTCTTGAAGCGTGAGTAAACAATGGAGAAATGAAAAAGTAGAAAAATGATCTGCCCGTTCAC